GTTGCTCCAGTGCCTTGTGGGTCAGACCTTTAGGACGAAGGCACTGGGTGTGTCCCTTCAAGAAATCATCTTCTTTGGTTTGGGCACCCGGGCAGTACCATAGCCCTCACATAAATCGAATGATTTGTGGGGGCATATGTATTCGGTGCCCCATTGTACCAGTATTTATGTGTCCAAACAAATAAATAAATAAAATGGATCGATTATAAATAACATCATAGTTAAACAACATTTTGTGAGTAGAAAGATTGGTCACAGACACTATTTATTCATAAGTTGATAAGATAAATTAATTCAACCAGATGATTTCTAAGAGAAAGGTGAAACAGCATACAGTTAAATGTCAACTTTTATTTAAACTATTACATCTAATGCGAATGATTACGTAATCAGGAACACAAAATAATCAAAACTTTCATAAGTTATCAGTTTAAGGGTTATGGAGATTGTTAAGTTTTTGATTGAGATCATAAACCGATTGATGTTAGACCACCATTGAAAACCTGGAAGCACTGGACGGCCATTTCGACCTATTGTGAGACTCCTCAGCAGTGTTGTTGTATGTAAATTACAGTTTGATCAATGGATTGATATCTTCCTACAACTTGTTTAATTTTCAATGTGAATAAATGCTGACTAACATTTATCACAAAGTGCAGTTATCTTCAATCTTGAAGGAAACATTTCTGATTACATTTCGGATAAGAAACACTATCTCATTCAGATATTTGAGCAAACTAGTGTAAGTCAAACAAAACCGAACACTACAGAGAAATACTAGTCGAGAAAGACATTTTAATGTATTTTAACAGTGTGACAACATATTGTTTAGATCAAAGTATACTCGATGTTTGTTACACACACTCAAAGTCAACACAACGACTACTACTTTCAACACTATTCTGATTAAATAACAAAAAAATTGAAGTATGTTGAAATAATAGATACAACCTCCTATTAATATACAGATACAAATCATTTGAATAAGAGTGAGATAGAGAGAGAGGAGATCAGTCAATCAGCTACAACGTAGGATCAGGCACATATATGCATCGGTCCAAGTTGTCATATCTCATTAACACAACAAGATGAACACCAAATTCATAGAAGTATTTAATTCAAGAGAGTGGAAGAGAAGGAGAAGAGAAGGAATGAAAAAAAGAGAATAAGATGATATATGTTAAATTTGGGTAACACCAGCGGTGCAAGCACACACACACAGACACAGGAAAACAATGGAGTTTAAGTTGTGAATTAGTAAAGCAACAGCAACAAAATTATGATTACTGTATTAAGAATATGATCAAACTAGTTAAAATTAATGGTTAGAATGTGAAATGTTAAATTACCATCTCTCATATATTTGAAATTTGGACAATAATATATCTGGAAAGAGTTGAAGAATATTTTTTATAAAAAAAAACATTGAATTATGAAATGTGTGATAGAGACAAGTTTATAGGGATACATAGAATGTTGTTCAATGAGAATAGATTACATTCACTAAATTGAACAAATTCATTGATTTCAATTGGTTGAAATCATGAATCAATTGAAGTTAGACTACCCATGGAAAACCTGGAAGCAATGGATGGTCGTTTCGTTTTATTTGTGGGACTTCTCATTAATTGTAAAGTTTTCATTGTAGATGCCAATGAATTTTATTGTACAAAGTGATAATAAGTAATGTAATACAATCAAAATTAACCGATAACGAGGAGTATTTTGTGTATACTATAACCATAGCCGATTGTTGATGTTAAGTGATATATAATTTAGAATCGATCACTATTACGGCAAAACATTTACTCATTATTTTAGTCTAGATCTTGAGTAACCATGTTGATGTATACATACTTTTGCATTCTATCGTCTTTTACTATACTCAAAATAATCTATCTCACTTCAACATTTTTACTATTTAGCTCGTTAACATCAAACTTGGAGGAAGTCAGGCTGGTTTCACACCTGGACATAACAAAAAATAGATTAAATCGTCACTGTTCTTCAGATCTCTGAATATAGAGTGAGCAAACCATCCAACAATCAGTCAGTCAGTAACAACGTAGAACTTCGTACGTACGTACATCAGTTCGAGTTGCCACACCACATTAGCACAGAGATGTAGTTCTCTATGTATTACACACTGTGGTTATGAAACATGATCTAAAGATGTTCAAGGCATGTGTGGGTTAAAAAAAATTGATCGTAGGGGTCTTTGAAGTATTCATCGAGTGTGCTAAGACTATCAGGCGACCAATACTCTGGTTGGATGCAGGTTGTAGGAAAAGATAGCTAATCAATTAGTGAGGTTCGAAACTTCTAAATGAAGTGGTTGGTACATATGTAACGTGTTCTCAATCAACGCCTACATGAACAGACAATGTTAGTTGTAGTACGATTAATTCGGAAGAAATCATAAATTGAAGAAACAAAAACATAACATCAATCTATGAAATCATCGATTGTTGGACTAAACTATATTAGTAGATACAAATTACTTGGTTAAAGTTCGTCGATCATTGGCTGAAAACCACATAATTTCACAGAGTCCAAGTTGTCAGACTATCGAAAAATAGTATAAGTAGTAACAGTACCAAAGATTAGGCATTGAAAATCCAATTCGAGAAGTGAATGTGAATTAGTGAGATAAAAACGGGGAGAAATTCAAGGCAAGACAAAAAATGGATGCATTTGTGTCATTCCAAACGATTTTCAGCAATTTCATTCAAAGTCTCTAGCCACCGCTTACGATCATCACACTGACCACAACCAGGTAGTCTACACCTATTAGTAGCATGGCTTAGTCTAATTGTCAGTCACTTCACGAACTGATGTCATGTTTTGGTTTGACTGACCCTAAGGTTTATCAAGCCTAGTCCTACACCATAAAACATCATCTGTCATGGTAGATGGTGGTTGAGCATATGTAACACATGTCTCAACCATCTCAGTTGATCAAAGTTGGACATGAAGCAACTGTATTCGACATCTAGTGAAGTGTAGCTGTCATAAAATAAATGTAAAGTGATTATGATACTTTTTTATCTGATATGTAATTATTTAAATCCTTACATTGATGGTATGTACTACAAATGATTAGTCTCACTGTCCTGTTTGCCACTATTCAACATTGAATATGATATCATTGTATTCAAGAAACAAATTAAACAGGAGTATACACGTATGTAAAGAGTAGGACAACTATGTAGTTTAGAATCTTTGTAATTCGAAATGAAATGTTTCAGCCCAGTGATGGTTAAATTGATAACTTGGTAGTTGAACTTTCAACTGGAAATTATCATAGACATCATATTCAATAAACTATGCGCAAAAACTAATATGACATTATGTTTTAACAGTATTGAATAAAAGTAGATCTGGTTGATGACGGACGATATAAGAAATGATTATGGGCATGTTATTTATCATTCCGTTTTTCAATTGATGCACAGATTGGACTTGAAAACAACAACCTCAATTTAGTCTGTAACCCGAATGTAAAGCTTCTAAAAATTTCCAGTTAAAAACATGCCTCTGTATATAATGATGATGATGGTGTTGTTAAGCGATAGTTGTATTCAACTGAATCCCTAGTTTAAATGTCCATTTGTCCCAATTTCCACACAACATCAATACAGAAAGATTAAATTTATTAAGGTTGATAGCTAAGGAGTTGAAGTACAAGGAAAAGAGATACAGGAATTAAACGTATGGACTTTTCTAAAGGGTCGGAAACTATCAGAGAAAAAAGGCAATGAATGCTTCTGTGTCAATATAACGAAATCAAAGGATGTTACTCAACATCTCCAATCACTTCATGGACTAATTTCATGTTTTCGTCTGACTATATCTAGATCTCCTCCAAATAACTCCAACGATACCAGGCATAGCGCATTCAGGAGTGTCATTGCAACTGAACGTACTCAATTACACGCCATAGGAATATGAGTTGAAACATGGGTTAGAATACATTTAAATGAAGCAAATATATGTATACAATGACAGGTTAACGGTCAACAATATCCAATCAAGATCGAGGTCTAAAAGACAAGCTGTAAGTCATATGTGGAGAAATTCTAACACTTCACTTTTGTATAAAGTTTGTGCTAGTGATGTTATTCAGAAGAAAAATGAAAGCGACGCGACCAAACCATTCAGCTCAAAGAACAAAACATTCAAATGTATACACTATTTTTAAAATTATATATTGCATTTATTCCACAATGTACCGATTTCGTACTTTATATCATGCTTCACATTTATTTATTTTGATTACTTAGTTAAATGTGATGTAGTTTACAGTTGACTTGAACTGTCTTGTACAACACATTGATTTAATGTACTAAGTGAAAGAGGACATTCAAATTTTCAAACTAAAATATATATCTCATAAATGTATTCGGTTTATTGAGAACAGACAACTGAGCATCAATATAACGAGTTAATCATTGGGAATATAAAATCCCAAACTTATCAATATGGTTTAGTTTAATAGTTAATGTATTGATAGACTGATTTTGAAACTTTAGGTTTGATTTCACTCTTGTAACGGTCGTTTAGCTACTCGTAATAAATGTCTCGATGTGGATCAATAAGAGATGCTTAGTTTATCACGGTACAGATGATGAACATGAAAATGAATAGATCATTATTAAACAAGTGAATGATTATCGTAAAGATATCCTAACAATAGTGGTCGTTTGAAGAAGTTGGTAAATTAATATCAGATGGGTTTTGAAGATATTATAGTAATTTCAATGGTTAAGATCATGAATCAGTTGAAGCTAGACCACCATGGGAAACGTGGAAGCACTGAACGGCCGTTTCGTCCTACTGTGGGCCGTCCAGTGCTTCCAGGTTTTCCATGGTGGTCTAGCTTCGACTAACTCATGATCTTAACCATTGAACTTAATATCAGTTAACGGTCTATTAAAAAATTATTAAAGAGAAGAACAAATTGATCCAACCATTAAAAAGAAATAGTGTTTTTTACTTACCGTCACAGTAGCTAGAAGACCTTCTGGAACATTGGCTACAATGATACCAATTAGGAAGATTACAGCTTCAAGCCAATGATAGCCCAAAATGAATGCAATAACAAAAAATGAGATACCAAGAAATACAGCGACACTTGTAATAAGATGAATAAAATGATTAATTTCTTTATTAATTGGTGTTTGGCCAATTTGTAAACCTGAAGCTAAATTTGCTATACGACCCATAACAGTACGATCACCAGTACTAACAACTATACCACGACATGTACCTAAATATGAAATAGGATGTAAAAAAGCATTAAAGAGAAATAACTTATTTAAATGCTGAATATCATTTTTGCTATATTTATCAGTGAAATTATAAAAGCAGACAAACGAATGGACTTACCGGTGGTAATTGTCCCCCCCCCCAAATGCCCAGGTACAGTCGAAGGTGTGGAGATTCCGCTCTCTCTCTCTTTCTAAATGTTTTCGCATGGCCACGTGCATATAATTATTGGTAGTGAAGTCCCACTCGATACCTTCTAGCGACGGGAGTGCTTATGAAATTGAGGAGATAAAAACCAAGTGTCTGGAGAATTAACCCGGTTGGTAGATATGGAGGATCCACTTAGGGGGGTTGGAAAACCCTAATTACAAACCAATGGTGCTCATGGGCTACCAGGATCCTGAGGGAACAAATGGCACATGAACCTAATGTCGGATACCAGTTATCACAGGACCGCATCTCCTAACGTTGCTTCGCTGCCTTGTGGATTAGACCTCTAGGTCAAACGTTTGGGGAGTGCCTCCCTAAGAAAACCACCTGCTTCGGTTTGGGCATCCGGACAGTATTCAAGCCCCTACACAAATCGAATGACGAAGTGTGGCGCATATCTATTTGGTGCCTCTTTGTACCAATTTTTATGCGCTTAAATAGATAATTAAGTAAAACCGGTGGTAATGAATAACTTTGAAGCCAACGTGAACACAAAGAGAAAAGAGAGAAAAATGTAAGCTAAGAGGTTATTGAGATGGACAGAATTCGTGTCATACGACTCTAATAATGTTAATAAATAAACTGGTTATGTAACAGTTCCATTTCTTCTAACTAGTATGTTTTCCGTGTACATGTGAAAGATATCTATGACATGCTTATTCTAAATAAGGTTCAAATTGAATATTACTGAAGTATAATGATTCTGACATCATATATTACTCGATAGTTTAGTAGGTGAACCAGTCAGTTTCAAATCATTAAAATTTTATCTTTACATGTAGTTACTTTATTTGAATTGGTTTTTGAAGCTGGGCAATACCACTCCCTCCAATATAGTGTAGAAAAGTACACTTAGTAGGTTAAGCTATCATAATTGAAGTAATACCGTAAAAAGTGACTAGGGATTCGACTTTCCGTCATGCTTAAACTCTTCCGCACCTACTCCAACTTGAGGAACTATGTTTCATACTTATTGTAGCTAAGTACACAAAAATATGTACACGGTAGGTTAGGTATGTGAGACACAAAAAGTTACCACATAAACTAATATCACAAAATTAGGAAGACGAAATTATGGAGATTATTCAATATATAAATAGTTTACACCACGAAAAACCGGTTTTAGTTGGACGAATATCGATACATCTGTTAAATGATCACTTGATCCGGTTTGCAGACACTTCAAATAACCTCAGGCTAAATCTGCACGGCAAATTAAATGCAGGAAGGAAAGAGAGGATTGCGATAAGAACACTTTACTAGAAAGTTAGTTTATGTATAGAAAAATGAGGGTATTTGCAGTTACACATGACCTTGGGCTTCTCAAAGTTTCTTGAATCATACTAAGTGTGGTAGCAGTATAAGTAAGTATCTAAACAAAAACGTGACTCTTCATACTTTGGATGTTTTCGAGAAGTTTATATTCAACGCTGGTTGGATTAAGTGCTTCCGAGAGTTTTCCGAGTATTTTGGAACTTCCCAACAAATATTAAAAACCGTGGTAGATTGTAAAGGTGTGTTCATGTCGAATATAAAACTATCGTTCATCAAGGTGAATTCACAAACCTGTCAGAAATTAAGTCCTTCAGCTCAAAGAACTATCAGCTAAGATCTGACACCCTAGACAATCGAGTTATCTATCACATTCAGTGAGCAACTTATTAACAACTTCAGCCAATTCATGATTTAGTGTACTTAACTTGTAATATTACGGTTGAACTTCACCGATCAGAGAAATTAAGAGTTTTCAGGTTTTTTTTGCTTAATATATCCAGCGTACTACATTCGTGATTTTATATTCGTTATATGCGGCAGCCTCATCAGCAGTAGGTCCAATATACACAAAGGGAAAATCAAGATTCGCCGATACAATACAGCATGCACCAATCCAATCACAATTGACGGAGAATATGTAAAAACCTTTACATATCTGGGCAGCATCATTGATGAACACGGTGGATCTGATGCAGATGTGAAGGCGCATATCGGTAAAGCAAGAGCAGCATATTTACAATTGAGGAACATCTGGAACTCAAAGCAACTGTCAACCAAAACCAAGGTCAGGATTTTCAATACAAATGTCAAAACAGTTCTACTATATGGGGCAGAAACCTGGAGAACTACGAAAGTCATCATCCAGAAAATACAAGTGTTTATTAACAGTTGTCTACGCAAAATACTTCGGATCCGTTGGCCGGACACTATTAGCAACTACCTACTGTGGAAGAGAGCAAACCAGATCCCAGCGGAGGAGGAAATCAGGAAGAAGCTCTGGAAGTAGATAGGAGACACATTGAGGAAAGCACCCAAATGCGTCACGAAACAAGCCCTCACATGGAATCGTCAAGGCCAAAGGAAAAGAGGAAGACTAAAGAACAGATTACGCCGGGAAATGGAGATAGACATGAGAAAAATGAACAAGAATTGGATGGAACTAGAAAAGAAGGCCCAGGACAGAGTGAGTTGGAGAATGGTGGTCTGCGGCCTATGCTCCATTAGGAGTAACAGGCGTAAGTAAGTAAGTAATATGCGGAATATTAACTAATCTAGTATAGGGGTTGTGGAGATTATTAAGTTTTTGGTTGAGATAATGAACCGATTGATGTTAGACCACCTCTAGAAACCTGGAGTCATTGGACGACCGTTTCATCCTAGTATGGGACATCTCAGCAGTGTGTATCCATGATCCCGCCTAACGAGATTCGAACCCAGAACCTATCAGTCTCACACGCGAATACTTAACCACTAGATCACTGAGTTTGCCAGCATCCAATGTTATCAATATCTAACTTCAACTAATCCACGAAATTAAGTGACATATCCATCATTTTCTTCAGTGAGTTACTATCTCATAACAGATCCAATTGATCATTACTTCTCATTAAAACTTTAGAAAGTGTAACCTCTTCAAGTTAGTCACTACTAGTAATCATCTATTGATCCATATCAAAAGGGATGGGGGGCATTTTGTGAATGGATATTATAGTCATTTGTTCTGTTTATTCATTTAATTATTTCATTAATTTATTTACTCATAGTAATTTTATTTATTCAAATAATAGAGTTAATCTATTCAAATATTATGAAATGACTAAATAAATATTTTCTTTTACAAACAAACAAAAAAGAAAAGAAAAGAAGATAAATTAGGTGTAATCCGAATTTCTAATAAACTTTGAAACAAGTAAACAATTCTTATAAAATAATAATAGAAATAAATAGATAAACGATGATTCCAAATAGGATATATCAAGCATAGACTATGGATATATATATATAGGGAGAGAGAGCGAGAGGGAGATCTATGTAACTACAGGGGTATATATGAGATCAAACTAATATATGGATTAGAGTTAGTGTTTGGCTGTCAGTTTCACAATCACAGATCAATATATATATATTATAGCAAACAAATTCATGCCTCCAAGCAACTGGTTTAAAATGTAGGTCACAAAAATAGGATAAAAAAAACTACGCCTAATCTCAAAAATACATATAAATATATTTGTATTATTTATAAGAGATTATAAAACAAAATTTAAATGAAATCCTTTAATGGTTTTAACTTTGAAATATAATTAGCATATGGATTGATCAAAAATCTTTTAAGTAAACAACAATAAACTGAGATGGATAGTAGCTAGTAATGGAATAATCTACGAAGCAAGTTTCTTCAGTTAGCTACAACGCACGATCAGGAACATATATACAACGGTCCAAGTTGCCATACTTCATTAGCATAACAAGATGAATACCGAATTCATAGAAATCGTTAATTCAATGGTGGTAATATATAAAAGAAAGAATTGCTTCGTACAAAGAAAGATATAAAGCGATTTCAATCTTATAGTTTAAAGGAAGACATAGAAACGAGTTTCGTTCTATTTGGAGGATACTGGGTTCGAGTTCCAGAGTGAATATCAACTCCGGAATGCGGGTACATGCAGATAACGAGTCCCAAATAGAACGAAACACGCGTCCTGTATTTTACTGCTAACCAATTATAATGCTTGTGACTTAAGACAATATCAAGGCAATTCGTACAGGATGCACATACATCAAAAACAGACTGGTCAATTACAGTCCAAAATGTCATAGGAAAGATTCAAACAACCAATACAGAATGAATAATAAACTGAAGTTGTATCTCGTTCTGAAAATAAAATGAGTGTCTGCACTAGTTGATAGTGATCAAGATTAGTTGAACATGATTTCTACAGTGATTCATCTGAGGATTTGAATGGTGAAAAATTAAACTCACTATTATAGCCATAACAATCAGGGAAGTTCAAAATACAGGATCCAATGATGTATACATAAATTGAACAGTTTTTATAACTCAGTCTCTAATAAATAAAATGAGACTCGGCATATACATTATTTGTTATTAACGCTTATGTACATCGTTCAGTCTAAGAATTATTGACCCCATGGATTGCTGTAATATCTTGGTTCGACCCCCTCACTTCCTGTCAAGACTTAGTCAGACACCAATGCATCAGAAGTAATGAGATTTACAAGATAAGTGAACTGAAAGATATGTTTAACAACTTCAATACCTATCATTAGTTGATGCACATCAGCATTAAAATTTCTGAGAGACCAAACGAATGAGAAATGTGGGATAAAAATCAAACTCAGAATTTAAAGGAAGATGATGACTATTCCGGTATTGTACCTGTATCCCATATCACCATGAGCTGACAATGAACTGAATTACTGAAGGAAACAAAAACCACCTTTTCTGAACGATTCAAATATCTTTACAATGGGTCGTTTAAAGTTCGAATGAGAAGTTAGAGTACAGTGTCAACTTATGAGGTAATAACAGCAATAGTCATGGTCTATAATGAATCGATTGAATGTGAAATTTTCGACCGATGAATTGAATCTAATTAGTTTAAATAAATTAATTTCATTGTAAAATCTGAAAATTCAGCATTTAAGCGGTTCAACTTTTAACCAGTAAGTCATGAGTTCGAATCATCTCTATTTGCCTCGATCCAGTCAATCTCGTAGTATAAGTAGCCCTGATAATTCAGAGAATGTATGGCTCGAAGTCAAGTAAATGAATCTGTGTTGTACCTGGGGAAGCAATGAATCATATGTATAAAATACAAAAAAATGAGTATAATATGTAACCGAGATAATGCATATATATGTAATATACTACTCACCATCGACAGCGTTAGTTGAGAAGAACGCCAAGTTCTTTGTCTCCAATGGATTTTCATTTGTATATTCTGCTGTACGTGATTGTGGCTCAGATTCACCAGTCAATGCAGAATTATCCACCTGAAATATGTGTGTTGGTTTTTTTAAGTTAAAAAGAAAAGTTTAAAATGTCACCATAAATATAAAGTATATAGGAACATAAGATAAATTAAATCGACAAGAGAACAGACAAGCATTTTGAATTACTACACTAATGTAACTCAACAATCTTCATAAACCTCCTAAAGTAATAAGGATAATGTGCTCACTATTAAAATTTAGATGCAATTCTAAGAATTCTAGTAAGAAGCTCTGACTAGTGATTTTCAACTATGTAGGGTGTAAAACAGTTATCCGCCATAGGTAATGCAAAATGATACCACGATGAGGCGAATTGATTAGATTTAAACTTAAACACCACTGAACCACAACTCATCGGTCTAGAAGTCAAACTACTGCGTGCGAGGCCGAAGTTCCTGAGTGCCATCCCCAGTGGTGAGTCATGGATGCGCTTCATGATTGGAAGGTCCTTAATTTCAACCAGCGTACGGAGTTATAGCTAGGTGTGTTTATTGCTAAGTACGACTCATAAACGAAAACGAGATAACCGATTATCAGTTCTATCTTGTTCTCCATGCAACTCTTCACCTGGCTTTAGTTAGGAGTGAAAAATTGCACCAAATCTTAACGAAGTTATAATTCAGTTGTATGGTTTGGGTTATATCCATAAGAATTAGATCGCCACAATATTTTCATCGGTTACAAAGATTTTGGAACAGAGATAGATCATGCCCAGCAGAAGAATGCAGGATATGCGTTTCATCCTATTTGAAACTTGTCAGCTAAATGTATCTGAATCAAAGTGTTAATGTTCATTTTAAGACTTAATAACTAAGTAAATAATGTGCTGGACGTTTGAAACGAAGGATACAATGTTCAAATATCAGTGTGAACAACAACACTCAGATTCAGACACATCAGTCAATCAGAACGTATAACCTAAATCTATGTATATCGATTCAAGTTGCAAAACCCCACAGAGATCAAGTTGTCAGGTCAAATCCAAAAATAGTACATGTAGTAGCAGCATCAAACGTAATAGGAAAGATTAAGCATTAAAAATACAGTTCAAGAAGAAAATATAAATTATTGAGATAAATATGGGAAAACGTCATGAAGAATTTTGAATCTGAATTCGAGGGAGACAAAGAATGGATGCACCTGAGACAGTTCAAACTATTTTAAGCTATTTCATCCAAAGTCTCTAACCACCGCTTACGATCATCACACTGGCCACAACCAGGTAGTCTACACCTATTAGCATGGTTAAGTCTAATTGTCAGTCATTTCATGAACTGATGCCATGTTTTAGTTTGACTGACCCTAACGTTCATCAAGCCTAGTCCTACACCATAAAACATCGTCTGTCATGGTAGGTGGTGGTTCGATATACGTAACAAATGTCACAACCACCTTAGTTGGTGAAATTTTAGTACCTCAAGCGATTTACAATTCTTACTGAGTATTCTATTTCTAGAGAACTGTGGTGCATGTTACTGATGTTGACAGATATAGGTGGTATGTATCATCAATCGAAAGTGAAATATGTGGCGGAAGAAGATTAAGAAGGTCGAGAAAAAGAGAATGAGAACAGAGAATGCTTGATGTGGAAACGAAAGAACAATAAAGTCTGAGACAATTGATTAATATTTTGCAAATGAATTATTTACTGTATGGTTTTCAGATTTTACCGAGATCTGTGATTTAGTGTTCAAATACATTCTATTGTACTTACTGGTGTTTTCGTTCACTACAGAACCAAATCTTAACCATACTTGCATTGATGCTTAAAATGATCAGAACACTGAATTTTGTCAACAACGCATCACAGTAATTATGGACAAAGAAGAATACGTTAAAAAGGCCGACGAACTACTTGAAGATAAGAGCACATACAAGCCCATTAAGATGGAAAATAGCTAAGCAAAGTGGAAGAAAAATGGTATACCTAATGATAACGAATGCACACTACAGGATCCGCAAATACCAACACGTCATAAAGGACTAAAAGATGAAGCTACAAAGGACACTTTTGTCAATATCCTTCATCAAATAGAACTATAATTAAATCATCAACTGATAAGTGACAAAAAAGACTTAATGCGTTTCACTATTAGCTGCAATTGAACCATTAAAACTTTAATGATAAGTGAAGAAAGTTTATTTTAATCTTAACTTATCAACAACAACAACAACAAAAACCACCACCACCACTAGTACAACAACAATAATAATAACCACCACCACCACCACTAGTACAACAACAACAACAACAAAAATATATATCTTAAAACTAGAATGAATTAAATTCGATAATACTCTATTATAAATTAATTGAATTCCTTATATAATATGATCTTATAAATGAAATTGAATCAAATATCTATCTATCTATTTATCTCCATATATATTTTTGTCAGTTCATTTCACTCTTAAAATGTTTTTCATGATACCCATTTATCAATAATTTAAACACTTGTTCAATTCCAATAATAATAATAATAATAATAATAATAATAATAATAATAATAATAATAATAATAATAATAATAATAATAATAATAATAATAATAGGTTATATATATATATGAACGAGTTTATTATACGCATCAATCGTTATTCAATAGTAACGGTTTATACAACCGATGATTATTTATAAAATCGTCAATTTTGAGGACACATGAGAATTAGTTAGTCAAGTTCAAAGGCGGAATGAAACGGAAGTAACAAACTAATAAATATATTCATGAAAATAATATATATATATATATATTTTAATAAAATACTTTACTATGATTTTCATAAGGAAAGAATAAGGGTACGTGTAACATTGATGGGGGGAGGGGGTGATGGTGATGATGATGGTAATAATGGAAGGGTATTACATACAGCACATGATGTATATTCATAATAAACAGTTCTTTAAGTAATAGTAATAGTAGTAGTATTAGTCTCTGTAAAAACGGTCTAAACTAGGTTGCTTGACCTAAAATATTAAATTAAAAATTAACAATAGTTATGAAGATATAATATATTTTTCATTTAAAACGTATTAACTAGATTAAAAACATTTAGACAATCTAATCTACATTGTATGATTATTCATAGTTAGTTGTTTCTTATCAAGATTAATTGAAATAAAGACTCATTTTCATCCATAGGCTGATACAGTACCTAAAAAACTATTCCAAATGAATACTGTATTGGGAGATGGGATGTAATGTTGAAGAATAATAGTACTAGTTAAATTAGTAGTCCATGATGAAAGTCGTTTTTATAGTAAAACTCTAATTTGTGAACAACCTTTGTGCGATACAAGTGATCTTGAGAGTGTCCACTTAATAACCAGTAACAAATGAGGGTTATAAACTTGTGTAAAGAATTAGATTTATGATTTTCATCATGAACTGACATTAAATATAATGTCAAAACTCTATTTAGCCAAATAGATGAGTAAATTTAGCGCCAAATTTCGAGACCTGTTATCTTATACCTCATTGGATCGTTCATAAATTATAGTCTCGCCTTATTTGCAACTATAGACTGATATGAGACTAAAGAGTATACGAATTGTTCAGTTTATGATTCTTTGAAAAAAGGTACCTAGATAACAATTTAAGTTGAGATTTCTACAAAATATAAAGGTATGTGTATATTTTAGTGGCCCTATATCTGACTCCATTTATATCGTATGATGATTGTTATCGGGATATATTACATGTCGCATTAGTGAATAACGGAATAAGTCAAGTACGAGAATGGAGTTCGAATATGTATATTTCATGATTCATTGATTTAAACAGACAATCAAGGAAACGAAATGACATGCAGTGAAGGCGAGTGAGTTAACTCCCCTTAGCATTACTTTGATTCCCTGATTATCTATATAGATGAAGGAGTGTATGCAACAATATACGTATTCGAAATTCGTTCTCGCATTTGACTTATCCCGTTATTCACTAATGCGGCGTATATATCCCGATAACAATCGTCATACGATCTAAATGGAGTCAGATATAGGGCAATAAAAATTTAAACACTATTAATCTTCAATCCACTTGGTATTGTTTATTTGTATCTTCCCATTTATGTTTAGGACTGCAATTGATCATTCTCTTATTGGGATATGTACATACTGTGCGTATTGCCTCGATATAACCTTAATTTACAAGCACTATATGCAAAGATGGATTGCATGAGTCAGCAGCTAAGTGGATAACAAAATGATGTTTGAAGCGAACGGTACCGGGTTTGAGTCCCAGAGTAAACATCAACCATGAGATGCAGGTGCACCCATTCGACGAGTCCCAAATAGAACAAAATGCGGGTCCTGGATTCCACTGTTAACCACTATCCATCTTTGCATATAATACTATTGTTGTATATGATATCTTGAAAGTATTTTCTAGAAAGAAATTCTTTAATTTATGAAAATGAAGTATGTAGACATATTATACATTGAGAAAATTCAATCCCAAATTCAATCAATCGATGTAAATTAGTTGAAATTTACTGCTTTGTTTCATTGTTATAGTATATATATCCGGGCATTTGTAATGTATCTTGCTTTCAAATGTACAATATCTAGTTTTTCTGTTCATTTAGTAAAAAACATAATTTGGCGAGACCACAGTTTATGGACGAATCAGTCAGATGTAGGATAACTGATCTTGAATTTCGGCTCGAAATTCACTCAGCCATTTGGCCAAATTGCATTTTGGCATTTTAGCTAATGTCAGTTCATGATGAAAATCCATAAATATAATCCCTAACCCTAACCATAAATTGTAAATCATAATTCTAATTCCTCATGCTGAATTATAACCCTCATTTAGCCCTAGTAAATAGGTAGACAATCTTAAAATCACTCTGACGTCGCCGAAAGATAATCCATAGATTGCAGTCCCACCAGATTCCCTACAGTATCATATTCATAGAAAACATTTGTAAATAACTCTAAATCAGTAGAATGAAGTCCTCAGTGAAAATTACACTTCTATATACAGTTTTATTTATTTGGACACATAAATATTGGTACAAGAGGGCACCAAATATATATGCGCCACACTTTTTTGTGAGGGCTGTGATACTTCCCCGGTGCCCAGACCGAAGCAGGTGGTTATCTTAGGGGGCTACACCCCAAGTCTCTGACCTAAAGGTCTAACCCACAAGGCAGTGGAGCATCGTGAGGAGATGTAGTCCCATGGTAGCCGGTGACCGAAAATTGGTGCATACGCCATTTGTCCCCTCAGGATAATGGAGCCTATGTGCACCATTGGTTTGGGATCCGTTTAAAGCGCCGAACATTCACTTTTCACCCTCTCAATTTCATAAACAACACCTCCTCCACGAGAAGGCAGTGAGTAGGACATCCCTAGCAGAGGCTATATACGCGTGGCCATGTGAGAGCATTTCGAGAGGGAGTGTGGACCCACCATACTCTCGGCCATACCAGGGTATTTGGGGGCTCTATATACAGTACTGACTAAATGAATGATGAAATACATTACGGTATTAAATATTACACTTGCTAAACATTAGATAGTCATCTTTCGATTCAAACAATGAATTAATATCACTTAACTTCACACACACACACACAAACACACAAACAGAATAAGTCAACCGATCCGCTTTATTCAAGATTTTTATATGATTGAATAAATTATGAAACAGTTATAAGACAAAGTAAACTGAATAATTGTGAAATATAAAACATTGATAAAAAACAGTAGGTAAGACCGGGTTTTTTTTTTAAATTTATATATTTTGTCCTAGTTTATTGTCTACACGTTTATGATTCCAACTTATTTCAATATGAATCAAGTAATAACTATTATACACACTTACATTTAAATATTCAAATGTATATAAAAAAGGAGTTATTCTATTAGAGTCTTTGATTTAGGCCATAGCAACAATAATCACATAAGAAACAGATCATATAACCCGTATTTGTTTTTAACTTCTCTTACAATGTCCTTATCAATTTAATAATTCACATGTTGATATTCTATTAAAAATGTATCTACTATTGATAATAGACCTGTTAAAACTTGGTTTTTTTTCCAGACTATATCCTAACTAATATATAGGAGTTATCATGTAAGACTTATAAACTTATCTTAAAAAAGAATTTTCTTTTTTCCTTTTTTGTTAATACAGTTCAACGCTACATTTGATAATTTTTATAAAAAATGAAAATAATTCAATCGTGGATGAGTACTGCTGAAGAGTCTCATAATGGGACGAAACGACTGTCCAATGTTTTAAAGTGCTTAATGGTAATCTAACTTAGATTGACTCATAAATTCAACTATTAAAATTACTATAATCTCCACCAATTCCTATTCTAATAATAATCTTAAATAGTCATTCATTTCATTAATATATATTTGACCAATTTTATTCGGACATTCAGTTTATTCATATAACACTAAATGTTTATTTCAATCGTGAATCTTTGTATCAAATGTTGCTTCTACAACCTTTTGCGTGAATAAATAATTACTAAAAAAATTCATAAATTATTCGAAGTTAAGTGGTAATACAATAAGTATAAGTGTCAATGTACATCACTTTGAACCATTCTGTTTGTACGAGACCTAGTGAGACTAACCGAATGAACATACTGTACGAAAATAGAGGTCAGTCAGCGACAACGTAGAACTTCGTACGGACATACATCAGTTTGAGTTGCCATACCACATTAGCACATATATACAATTGTCGATTGAAATCCCATAGTGGCAAAGGTAGTAAAAGTAGAAGCATTAATCGGAAACATTAGGGTTTGAAGATATAATACAGTGAAATAAATTTAGAAACAGAAAAAGGGAGATGAAGAATTCAGAAAATTATTACTTGGGAGAACACAAAGAGTGGATGCACCTGCACCATTGCAAACGATTTTGAGCCATGTCATTCAAGGTCTTTAATCATCGGTTGCTATCGTCTCGCGCATCCAAACCAGGTGGTCTACACCCACCAGCATGGATCAATCCACTTGTCAGTGAATTCATGGATTTGGCCGCCCACAGCTTTTTTCCAGCCTACTCCTATACCATAAAACATCGCATATCGGGGCAGTCAGTGGTTGGTCATACGTAACGCATGTCCCGGCCATCTCAAATGATGTAGTTTCACAACTTCATCAATTGATGTGCCATCCTTACCTAGCAACTGTTTCCTACCAACTGCATTACTTATTCAGTGGTCTCAGAATATACGAGCGATGCTTCGACTTGTTCGAACTCGTCACTCATTGCATAAAACTTCAGTGATTTATTCGATAACCCCTATATTAAAATACACTGTTTGTCTTCCTTTGCACTATGAGCATAAAACCGCTTTATATCTTTTTTTTACGAAGGAATTTTTTTCTTCCTGTACTATATTCTTATATGTAATCTTTCTTTTCTATATCACCACTGAATTAACTGTTTCTATGAATTCGGTGTTCATCATGTTGTGCCTAATGAGGTATGACAACTTGGACCGATGCACATATCTGCCTGATCCTACGTTGTAGCTGATTGACTGACTATTATGTAAAATAGATAATGTAAATTTCAAAGACACATTTATATGACTTGTGTAAATATAATTCATTATAGACAGGAAATCTTTTCATATATACGTTTCGTTTTATAAAAAAAAATTTCATGTCCTATTCTACATTCGAAAGAGCAAAAAAGCAAACTCCAGCTTTAAATGACAAACATATTCATGATGTTTTTTGAGAGGATGAGAATTTATGAGAATTCAATTAAATTATTAAGTAAACTAAGAAATTTCATTGAAATCATATTTATACAATTACTGAATATCTGGAAGGATTGGATGGTCATTACTTCGTCGTATAGGATATTCTTTTTTTTCTAGTATAGATTGGTTTATGATTTCGAAGAAATTCAATCATCTTCACAACCATTTACGGAAAATTTATATGAAATTTCTAATCAAAATAACACTCATATATTTAAAATGTACAATATATATATATATACTCACTTTGAACGAACTAGCTGAAATGATTCTTATATCTGCTGGTACACGATCACCACACTTGACGTCGATTAAATCACCAACTACCAAAGCTTCAGCTGGTGCTTCAATTTTCACTCCACCACGAATAACTAAAGCAGTCTACAGGATAAAAAAACGTACCACTGGTAGTGATTACACTTTTAAACATTATCTTTAGTATAAATATATATATATCCTATGAAAACCTTGTGTGTTAGTTACGTAACCAACATCAGATTTAGATGAACTTGTGTAGTATGGTGATACTTACGAGTATTAGTTGTTTGCTTTGAATAAAGTTAGTAAAAAGACTGTATTGAATCACTATGAATAAGATGAGCTTCAGTTAACAACCATTTTATTTTAATCAGAGTCTAGTTTGTTAATCTAATCTATTTATTTATTTTTATTTAACATTAGTTACCTTTATTCGCACGACTTTACATACATTTGAAGACATTGGAAAAAAAACCACATTTAAAACAACAATTACATATGTACTTATGGTAATCTCATGATATATCTTGTGACTGACTTTAAGAATACTTGACTAATTTCACTGTCAAATCTAATGGAAATTTTTAGTCAGCCACAAATGTAAGTTAGCCCAAACTATTAGTACCGTATTAATATGATGAAATGAGAATAACACGATGAATAGTAAACGACTCCAAATAATGTAGTAGGAATGATAATGAGTAAAACTAAGCATTGGGAATATTGTTCGTGAAGACAGTATCATAAAGCATGTATCAAGAAATCCTAAGACTCAATATCTAGAGTAAGATAAAGATTGAACGCGTTTGCAACACTGTGTCCAATTTTGATCCGTCATCCAACTTCTACAACTACAGCGTGTAACACAGAAAGGACAGTTGGATAGCTTAAGCACTTCATGTTCAGGGACCTGACATAAAGAGAATACTTGTTCAATTTATCCATATCCAGGTGTGAAAACAGCCTGGTTTCCCCCAGTTTTGTGCTGCCAAGTACCAGGTGAGTGTCGAATAACTATAAAGGCTAACGTGTAAGCAGAACTAATTCTTTTGTAGTTATCGGTAGATGAACTTGAACGATCGGAGATTGAAACTATTGAAATGGGATTGTGTAGGGCTCCGTAACTAGCTAACATATCAGTCAACTTAACTTCTAAAAGACTGATAAAAGACTAAAACATTTCACTGATATTACTGTGTAATAAAATATACGTTGTCATAAAAGGGTACTGACGGAAAATCTGATAAGCGAAATAAAGAAATGTAACCTATTGAAGTGTTATTAACAACTGTGTTATTCAGGGTCATTGACTTACCTGGGGAATCATTTTTTTGAACGATTCCATGATACGTGATGACTTCGACTCTTGGTAGTATGAAAAACAACCGGTGACCACTACGACAACTGATAATACAATCCCAAGGTAAAGCTTGAAAAGACAAAAATACCATCTTAAGAATAATAAATCACACAGTAATAAGTAATTCTTCTGTACTTACTTTCATATATCTACAAAATGTAGTGACAAAAAATATCTTTAATTGCTCTGCGAATAAAACCCACATTATTATTATTATTTACTCTTTCGGGTCAATAAAGTATGTGTAGAATGCAGTGAACCTATAAAAATACCGTCACTTTTATACGTTTTTAACTAGTTATCTTACTATGGATTAAATATCTATAAGTAAAAATGTGTAACTGAGTTATAGATTGCAAATGGTTGTCAGAATTTCATTAGAAGAAGCAGTGAACAACAAAAACTGACAATTAGCTGAGACATTGAGGACAAAGTACTTAATCCATCAAACAAACATTACACAAAGGCTTTATATCTTATTATATAGTGATCTAACTTTGGTGTACAAGATTTGTTTTATTTTGAGCAAACTATACTAGGTTTGAAGAGTAACGGGACAGAAACTCGACTGAAAACAAAATGAAGTTTCCTGTTTAGAGCTCAGCGGTTGCTTATGACTGACAGATACAAAATTAATTCTTTAAAACCCACTAATGAATCATAAGATATGACTTTAATGTCGAACCTCGCACATTCATTTTGTACAATCGATATTACATCGTAAATACTAAAACTAGTCCGCCCCAGTTAGAAAGTTTAATAAAATGATAAGATTAATCTATTTAGACCGCTAACAAGTAAATATCACTGGGTGAATTAAAACAATAATAGCAAAAGAGTACCACATTAAGCAATGTGATGAAGGCTGTAAGGATACCAAGACATTCAGTAAACTAAAAACAGTACTAAGGGTATTCAGTTGTATGGGTTTAACAAGCTTATATTGTCTCTAAGCAGAGTAGGGTTTCTTTATGACGAAGAAGTATTACTCTCCTTAAAGTTATACGATTGAGTTTTAATTATTTAACTTCAGAAAATTTTGACCCACACTAATAATTTCGTACGTCATATTAAATCTTTAAGTGTCTACTACAACGACCCCAAGTTAAGAATGGTTAATACTTATTTAGATTACAACTTATTTTAAACCAAATGACTGGAAGGAAATTATACCAAAATAAAGTCATACTTATAGACTATAACCTATATTATTCATCCGGTATGTTTTGTCAGTAGTCAATCACTAACCATATGAAACTGAAACCGTTTATTTATCTCCAAATAATATTCAATTGGAAGCAAACAAATTGTTAAAAAAATGAAACAGACTAGGTGGCCGAGGCATTTGACTATTGACCGAAAGACCTCGGGTCCGGTCTTTGCTCTTTTTACCTCAGATTAGGTAGCTGGATAGAATCACAAGCACTTATACAAATATGGCTTGCGACGGAATAGATAAGCTTATACTTAGTAAATGGGTTAGCTAAACAAAGTGAATATAATGAAACCCAGGTGTGTCAAGAGGATATGGAAATGAAAAGTCGGCATACTTTATGAGAAATAATTACTTGTTATATAAAAACGGTTAGTAAAGTTGTTCCACCTTAAAGTAATGGACACTCAGTCATTCAAACTGTAAGAAGCAAAATGGAATCTGAGATAGGAGTCAGAAGACTAAGAGCATTTGAAACAGAGTTACAGGTAGTTAATAGAGTATATAAAGAAATGTGTCCTATATAAATTACAATACTATAGGGCTCTGGGTAGTGTTAACAAACAAACAGCCCAAATGTTTTAAGCAACCAGTTGATCACGTTTTTTTTTCAAATATGACAAAGATAAACGATCTTATCAATTATTGTCATCCCGCATTGAAAAGAAAACATGGTGCAAAGGGTTGCTTAAATATCTTCACTCACCAGTGTGAGCAGACAGAAACAGAAAAACAGATGATAAGAGAATTTTCGACAGACTCCATTTAGAATCAACTAACATCTAGATACCCCAAGTGAAGTACACAATAGTAATCAATACCAGTAGTTCCACAGCTCCTCAATAATCTTACTCCGACTAGTAAACAAGGTACATGTTTTCCATTTGTGTATGCATAAAAAAATCCTAAGCATTAGATTATCTAGTGTACATGTAACATAGGTTAGTTTACAGGACAGCTTAATCACAATTCAGAACTACCATAGACAACAAATATTAATGATAAGAGTACTCGAATTTGTATTCTCTGATAAAATTATGAGCGAGATAATGCAGATCTCAAACAAAAAATAACTACTACAGAACTATAATCGAGAATAAACCGGACTTACATTATCTTTTGGTGGATCTTCATGAGTGCCACTTTCAATTGAGAAAGCAATAAAACAAAGAACGGCACCAATCCACAACAATAATGAAAAGCCGCCAAATAATGTTTTGCAGAATTTCACCCACTCTGGCGTTGTCTTTGGAGGTGTAAGTGCATTTGGCCCATCTCGTTCCAAACGAGTCCTTGCAATAAAACAAGGAAATATATCTGACTTACTTGGCCTGTTCAGCAGTCAAGCCACTCTGTGGATCGGTGGATAGTCGAGAATACAACTCATCGAGAGATATCCGATGCTCATCCATGTCCAGCTCCTGTTTCAGTTCGTTTAAGTCATCCTTCTTCGGGTTTTTCTTCGACTTTTTTTCAGTAGCCATTCGGTAACTATCGCCTCGCTGTGAAAATCACGGATAAATTAGTTTTATGAGATTGTGCACGGAACGAGAAAAGATATTAATTTTTTTGATCAACTTAATAACTGATTTATCACTATAAAACTTACGGCATTCGGAACACCCATTTTTTATATTGTGAGCCAAACGAAACCCAATATTTAACTGTTCGCTGATGTGAAGAAGTAAATGTGATTGAAACAAATGGTGCATCTAAACAAATCCGTTTCAGTCGAAACAATATATAAAGCTTTGTCATTTAACATGTGTGAATGGTGTTTTTCGTGACAAATGACCAGCTTTAAGGTGTTATCTGAATTCTATAGTGCATCGTTGAATTTGCCCACTCCTGTTAGAACACTTCGAAATTCTGATTACAAGCTTTCATTAACAGAATTGGTGAAATGTTTGCCGAGTTATAGTTATGACTGTGGAGTGATAGAGAGTTTTGGATTCTGAAGTGATATGACTCATGTCATATTCCTTACAAAACTTATGGACATTACAACTCACTTTGTAAGCCTAGACATGATGGTAGGATAACAAGTGGAATAACCAACACAATTAACGGCGGTACTAAAGCCAACTTCAAGTCTCCCTTTCAGAAATTCTAAGAAAGCTTCAGTTGCTGTTGCTTTAACTAGAGAATTCTACAACTTGCTGATCCCAACAGTGAAGAAGTTCACATAACCCTTTTAGTTAGCTTTTTAATATTTTATTTGAAGGGGATATCCTGTTTGGGACAATTAATTGCCAAAACATATCGGTTGTTTATATTTATGGGATGAGGGATTAGTAATGAGAAGATATTCTTCGATGATGTTTAAAAATCTCGAGATTGTGCTACTTAATACTTGTTTTATATAACCTGAAGAGCATGTGGACCACACCAGCTGCAGTATGTTAGCGGAAAAAGAAACCTAGGGTGCCACACAGAGTGGTGTTCGTACCTTTCAATGACGGATAGTGTAACACTTTGATCTTTCGGAAAATATTAGGTGGATGGAGTATTAGTTTAGTCCATCGTTAGTATTCTGAATTTGATGATATCGAGTTGAAGGTTTATGTAGATCCATTCATATACTCTATGTTGGATTTTGTAAAGGATGATGAGGTGTCGAACCACTTATCTTGTTTGATCGTGCCAAAATTACGTTAACTGGAGTCAGTTCCATTATCGTCTGACATTGTTCGAGGTTGTATTGAGTGGGATCAGCAGTTCATAGTTGGGATCCGGAGTCAGAGAGAATATCAAACAGTAGTATATAGATATTTGCTCTTATTATTTTTCCTTGAAAATTTGTATTTTCGGCACTCCAACTGCTACAATCGTTTTCAACAGTTAATACCCAATAATCTGTGCACACATGTTTTTTTATAAGCTCCAATTTTAATTCGTCTGTTTATATTTTTGAGCCCCCTACAAACTTTCCAAATTTCCCTGGACAGAAATAACGAACATATGCTTCTTTAAGATTTCTTTGGAAATGCAAAACGTGTTTCACCAAACAGTGATTGCATGTGAAATATCTATAGTATGTGCTAATGCCTCAAAAAATAAACAAAATATATTCACATACGGAAAGCAACAAAGTAATGTTTCATTCAAGAGAAAGACACAATGAAATGCGCATAGACATTCGGAATCTCTAGACCAGACAACTAGCTTTTTTATCGAGATCTTCAGAACTTCATTTAGTTCAACAGCGAACTGCTCAGCTTATATTTTGAGTATCTGTATGAAATAACTAAGTTATGGTTATCACATTAGCTCAGTACGACATGTCAGTGCGATGTTTTTGTTATAACCTATGGTCCCAGCTGCGTTAAACGTCTTTTTATGCAACTAATATGACAGCCGTTTCCACTAACCCAAATAGGTATGACAAAGATAACTATGGCGGGTTTAGTGGAAAATGTTAGGGGCGGCTTGGAGAATTGTTGAATCGAACATAACGTATGTGAAAGCTAGGTCAACAACAATCTCGATGCGATTTTCCTAAGAGGTTACAGTAGCCAATCAAGATTCGGAAGTTTCAGATTAATGCTTTATATGCTTTATATCGACCGAAATGTCAATCTTCGGTTTGAACGCGGAATTAATGAACCAAAGTTTATTAAATCAAACTAGTTTACGTTATTTTGTACAGGGTACGAAGCATTTTTGAGTTAATTGTATTAAACCATCTAAAAAGACCACCTCTGTTCAAGTCAAACGACTTTAATTTAACAGAAGGAATAAATTATATTAAAATACAAAATACCTCAAACGGTGCAGCCTGTGCTATAGTCGAGGGTTTTTCTAACACAAACTGAAGTGCTAAATAGCAAAAGGAGTGGTTAATAGACAAGGGTTTGTACAATTACGGTCTAAATCGATACTAGTAATGCTGTAATAATAAACCCAATCCGAAAGTAATAGATTTTTCATGCTCTTACTACCTTTCCTATAAGATCCTACGTAAAAAACACATCATTGTCTTCCATGAATCATCGTGTTATGACAATCCGCAATATAATGTTTAGCAACTTGGAAGAACATACTTCCGTTGGGGATAGAGTAACGTATTTAGTGTGAAAATGTATGGGCATACAAGGATGACCACGTTCGCAAGACGGAGCTATGCAATCCGACTAATTGAATGAATGTTCCCGCGCTCATCATGGTTGATCGTCCATTATCGTTACGTTTTGAAAGTGAATGTTCTCAGTAATTATATGTTCAGTTTCGAAGATGGTGGGGTTGGGAACCAATATCACTTGAAGTTCGATACCTGAGAATCAATAAAAATATTCAGATATCTATCTGCAAATAATCTGGCAAACTTTCTCTTGTAAACAACATATTTTCTCATGTTAGTATGCAGTCGTATGTAGCCATCAAATATATTTTGGGCAAAAACAGTTTTCAGACTGACACTTCCATACAAAAATACATTTGTGATGGCGAAGCTCTGGCAGAGGTCGAGACGTTTACGGACCTGGTCAGTATAATCGATGATTAAGAAGTATCCGATGCAGACGTAAATGCGGGAAATGGTAAGGCAAGAAAAGCAATCCTACACTTGAACAATATATAGAACTCAAAACTACTGTCATCAATATCGAAGTAAGAATCTTCAGAACGAACCGTCAACACAGTTCTACTGTATGACGCTGAAACATGAAGACCTACAACAATCACAATCGAAAAAATACACGTAACTATTTACAGTTGTCTACACAAGATGCTCAGTGTCCGCTGACCGGATACCATCAACAATAGCGTATTGTAGAAGAGGACAAACCAACTTCCAGCTGGAGAGAAAATTAGGAAAACGCACTAAAAGTGGATAGGACACACTTGAAGGAAATCACTGGACTGTATCACGAAGAATTATCTAACTTGGAATCCACAAGGCAAACGGAAAAGAAGAAGGCCAAGGAATACAGTGTCGTTAATCAGTAGGAAACATAAAAATGATGAATAGCAACTAGTACCAACTGGGAAGAACTATCCAGAAGAGAATTGGATGGAAAATGCGGTAGTCAGCACGTGCTTCTCCATGAGAGGCAACAGGTGTAAATAACACGAAGTGATAACGTGTACATGTTACGAAGTGTCACAGACATAGTAAATTACCTAACTAAATGGTGAAACTCGTCTGAATTATTTACGGAAACCGGATTATCTTTCGGATTCGACATATGGACACATATCCATACCCACTTGTGACAAAAGCTTAAATCGAAATAGAACCAGACTTAACACCAAATCATGGGTGTGAGTGATGCTGGTGACCATGTTACCCAGTTATTTTAGTATGAGTTCAAAGAGAGTTCAAATAAAGGTACATGGCACTCACATAACGAGCAATCTAAAACGAGCTTAAAACTGCAGAAACCGTATAGCTTGTACTCTTTGTGTTTCCTAAATATTGTCTTCGTTTTTCGGTGAAAGAATTAGGGAATTGGAAATTAGGCAGAAGACGAAAGAAAGAATATGTAGCAAAGGATAACTCATAGTTAAATTTTTAGCGAAGAAACAAGCTGAAAAGTAAGACTCAGATATCGATTCTTTCTTTGCTTGTATTAAATCTTAGCCTACGTTTATGTCGGTTAGGCTACATATTTCTAAGTGATGTTTCAAAAAACCTGTTTTGCTGAAGCCTTTAAATTCTTCCAAAACTTGTTTACGAACCAGGATAGTTAGTCATCACTATAGTTAGTCAATTATTAGCACTGATTGAGCTAGTAATCTGAATATGAGTACTGGTCAGTATTACAACACAATACATGAGTGCATTGACCAACGGACTAACGGAACAATCGGTTAACATAAGCAATAATCAACAGACAAAGTTGATCTCAATATGACGATTAGTAATAGGTTGTATTTCTTAGTCTGTCTCAGGATTGTAGAATTGTAGTCTGGGTCGGTTTTAGTACACTTGTCTATGACATTAGAAAAATGGAACCAATCCAAAATTTTAGACTTCCTACGATGTTTGTCATTTAATCTATGAGATCTTACGTGAAAATCATAGCATTTCTTACACTGATTCGTCCTATCGTGATAGCTAATGTTTGTTGTTTAAGTCTCCTGAAGAATACATTTGGCCAGTGAAAAGAGTAGTATATTGAGTATGAAAAGGAGCGGGTTATATAGTGACTGGATAAACGTAGCGTTCGCCGTTTTTGACTTTGTCCAAGTGTTGAATGTTAAATGTCAATCTTCTCAGTTATTGTATGCTCAGCTTCAAAGAGTGTGTGGTTAGGAACCGATACCACTACTAACATGATCATCCACTAAGGTAGTAACTTGATAAGACCAATTATTTTATTTGAAAAAGTCTTATTCTTGAATGATAAGGAGTCATATTTCGTCCGAAAATAGTCTGAAAAACCAAGGCATTGTACTAGATCAAAAGGCCAACATCCCAGCGTGCAATGAACGTGCAGTGCAACGCAGTCGGACGTGGCGAATAAAAATTAAAAAAAGAGCAAAGTTTGATACATAATCTGGTTATTTAATTAAAAATACATTATGAAATGACAAAATCTGTGGTTACGTGAAAGCACAAATGACAGTGTGTGATACATTAAGCTTACATGGTTGCGTTGTGGATAAGATCACCCTATAGGTAATTGTTGTAAAAAACATACAGCAAGGGATTTCCGCAAACAAGCTACTAGAAGGGATACGTTCTGGTTAGTG